CTAAACCCCAAACCCTAAGCCCTTCTGGAAGGGCCCCTGCGCAGGAGGCCCTGTCGTCGGGTTTTCTGGGCCCTCTCTCTGCCATGTCTTCGATCGCTTTAGGGTTTAGGGTTTGGGGTTTAGGGTTTCGGGTTTAGGGTTTCGGGTTTAGGGTTTAGGGTCTAGGGACACCTCAAGTTCTCAATTTAGATTCCGAGTTTTGCCTCACTGCTTTGTGCTGAAATCCTTCAGCTCCGAGAGTTCACAACACCATGGGTTTAGGCTTTAGGGCTTAGGGCTTAGGCTTGGCCATGTATCCACCTTAAATGCCGAGCTTGCCACGTGGCGCAGACCTGCCTGTAGACTTCATAGCCGCGACCTTCATGCCAGGTTGGGTTGTACCCCACAACAAGTCAGCAGCTTTGTGTAAACCAAGCAAGAAACAACCCTATCAACCAGCTACACCCCGGAATACTTTGTTCCGCTTATGTTGAGTTTGAAGCACCTATATTCAACTTCATCTTTCAGAGACTGGGAAGCAGCAGACAGCCGCAGAGAACCTGACCCAACCCCACTCACATCCGTTGTTGCGAGAGCCTCCTCAAACAGCTCAAAACCCTAAACTTCAAACCCTAAACCCTAAAACCCTGAACCCAAAAACCCTAAACTTCAACCCCCCCAAACCGGCGACCCTCGAGACGCCCAAAGAACAGCCCAAAACCTGAAGCCTAAACCCCCACTCCCGAGACACTGAAGCCACCAAACCCCCAAACCCCCAAACCCACCCCACCCCCCAAGCCCCATAAACGGTAACCCTTAGAGTTGTTTTTTTTTAAAGTGTAACCCTTAGAGTTTAGGGTTTAGGGCTTAGGGTTCAGGGGTGAAGGGTCCCCAAACCCTCCCCGAGGCCCTTAGACCACTTCGCCAGAACCGCAGAGCGTAACCCTAAACCCTAAACCCTAAACCCTTAACCCTAAACCGTCTAAACCCTAAACTTTAAACCCTTAACCCTAAACCCTAAACCCTTCACCCTAAACCCTTAACCCTAAACCCTAAACCGTAAGCAGCACACGGACGGATGGAATCTCGTGAGCATGGAAGATCGACTTGACCTGAGCTTTGGGCGGCAAAGGGCTACTTGGAGGTCCAGGGTACTTAGAACTTATAAACCAACTAAGTAGGGCAACCTAGGTCATATTTTTTGCTTAGAAGTACACTTATACTTCGGTTATAAGTACCCTGAACCTCCAAGTAGAGCTCCGGAGCCCAGGCTTGGTTGGTTTTGAGGGTTTAGGGGCCTTAGGGTTTTAGGGCTTCAGGGTTTCAGGGTTTGGGGTTTTAGGGTTTAGGGTTTTGGTGTTTTGGGGCTTTAGGGCTTTAGGGTTTTAGGGTTTAGGGCTTTAGGTCTTTAGGGTTTTGAGTGCAGAGTTTTAGGACTTCAGGCATAGGGGTTTAGCGGCTAGCGCTGACGGATTTCGGGTGTCGGCCTCAGTAAGACATGAGTAGCTCTCTAACGTATGCTCAACTTCCAGGTCCCAAACTAGACCCAAGAGAAACCTAGGCATAAAAAGGGTGCCCTTTTTGGCTTAAAGGACTTTATAAGGGAACCTGAACCCTAAAAAAGGGAATAAGGGCCTACTCTGGGTCCTAGTTAAACCCGTAGACCCTACACAAACGAAAGCAAGACCCTAAAGGCACGCACAGGCACCAGAAATACAACCC